AAAGCCTGGAGTTACTCTGAGGCTATTTTCATATGAAAGAAATTATCTTTTTCTCTAGTGGTTAATCTTGAAAAGAAGAGTAGATAACTAGGATGCCAAGAGTTTGCTAATTATGAAAACTGATAACTCTTTGCTGCTAAAAGAGAAGGCGATCGCTAAAGAATGTAATCAAAATGTTGGAAAAATTAAAAGCACCAGTCACGGGTTCCCTCTAGATGAGTGGCAGTGCGCAGGCTGCGTTACTGCTGCCCCACCCGCACCTAGGGGGCCAGCACGCTGTCTGCCTGTGGCAGTCCCTGCCCGCCCCCCGTGACTCACACATGGCAGAGGCAGGTGGCCTCGGGTGTTGTTGGGCAGCTCAGCAGTGGCACCCACGGCCTGTGCTTTCTGGGTCGATGTCCTTGGGATGCTGGCTCTTCCTGGGTGTGGAATGCGGGGGTGCAGGCTCCTCCCACATCCGCCCTGGGGCAGGAGGGTAAGAGCCCCTCCCCAGTGCCCGCCCACTGCACTTCACTTTCCAGAACGGGCTGTCAGCTGACAGAGCTGCAAGAGAGGCTGGGAGGGGAATGCTCCAGAACAGAGAGTCTCAGCGTCATGTCTCACCACAGCCAGCCACATCACTGCCTGGACAAAGCCAGGTTCTGCACCAGGAAGCAGAGGGCCTCGTGGGCTCAGTTCCTCGTCAGCAGCTGCAGGCACCCCTCTCCCTCGGCCTTTCCCCGCATCCCGCTCCCTCTATGGAGCTCCGCACCCCTTCCCACCTTCTCATCCCCCCTCACCTGCAGGATCGCTCCAACGAAGCTCCAGGAGGCTGTCCTCTGTGCTCTCAAGCCTGCACTTCCTCTCACACTCCCCTCTCTCTGTCACTGTCTCTTATGGAGGCGGGGAGCCCTCTGAGGCGGGATGTGCCCCTCTGTCCAGTGCAGGTGCTGGCCACTCTGCCCGTCACTGCCTCCACCCTCTCCACCACTGGGCTGGCCCGGCCCACGCCCACTCAGGCCTTCCCCGCTGAGGGCTTGGGAAGCTCTTTGCCGGAACGTCCGTGTGGCTCAGCCCTCGCCAATTCAGTGGTTTTTAGTGCACTCGCAAGGTGTTGCAGCACCACTAATTCTAGAACATTCCACCCCCCAAAGACAGCCCAGACCCACTAGCCATCACTCCTCATCCCAGTCAGAGCCACTGGGCTGTGCCCTGAGAGCAGAGCCCAGGAGGGTGAGGGCAGCACCTGGAGGGACACATCTGGCCGCCTGGGTCACCAGGAAGGGCTGGGCAGTTGGAGTCTGGGACACCCTCGGGCCTGCTGGTGCCCCGTGGGCCTCATCCAGGGGAGGCTGGTGGACACCAGAGCCGTCTGGGGGTCCAGTCCCCAGGACCTGGGCACCGCAGGGGTTAGGCAAACCGGGAGGCACCACGCAGGGACCCATGAGAGAGATGTCGGCGTGAGATCCAAGCACCTCCCGCGTCGTTCTGATGGGGCCAGAGGGGAGAGCGAGGCCCGCACTGCGGGGAGAGGCGGTGGCCAGGCCGAGTGTGAGGGTGGAAGGTGCGAGGGCGGAAGAGCTATGCCAGCGCCTGGAGCTGGCGCATGGGAGGCCTGGGAACGGGGTGCAGCACCCCCCCCCCCGCCAGCTCCAGGCCGGCAGCTCCCGTCCTCAGCAGCACCATGAAGTTCCCAGCTGTCCCATGAAGTTCCAGCTCAGATCTGCTGGGAGCTCAGCACCAGAGCCCCGTTCCTGCAGAGGGATGTGCTGCCAGGCTCCACAGTTTGAGGGGCGTTGGGAGTTGGGGACACCCACAGAGGAGGGCTCAGACCTCGGGGTGCCTCTGGGTCTCCGCTCACCATTCAGAGTGAGGCGAGATGGCTGGCCTGTGCCCTCCCTTCAGAATAACCCAGCTGCTGGGCTCAGCGCCCAGGGGACCCCGGAGCACCCAAACAGGGAGGCCCCTTTTCCAGGACCACCAGCTGCAGGAGAGAATCCTCTCCTTCGTTTCATCCTCATCCTCATCGCCCGTGGGCCAGGACTTCGCTGGGCCTGGGTGAGTCTGGGAGCCCCATGGCTCGCTCCTGCCTCGGGCTCCTTCTGACATCCCCTCCCAGCCGCCTGCTCCCTGGGGCCGCCTGGGCGCTGTGTGAGCTCTCGGAGTGGTCAGCCCTGCCCAGCCCTGCCCCCCTCTCTCAGGACCCAGCGGCCGCCTGCTGGAGGCCCTCCCGCCCTCCTCTCTGTGCATTTCTTCCTTTTCACCCCTCTGCTTCATTGTAGCGGGGCCTTGGGAGGGAGCGGGGAGCGGTTAGGACCACCCGCGTCTTTATGGAGGGCCGTCCACTGCCGAGCGGAGACGGGCTGGCTGTGAGGCCGGAAGGCAGAGGGGTCCCTGCGGCCCAGGCGGAGGGGTACCAGGCTCCTCCCAGGGTCTGAGTGCACGTGTGCGGAGGGGCGGCTTGTCAGGGGGAGCAGCAGTCCCGAGGGAGTCAGTGGGACGTCCAGTGGGAACCGGGCAGTTACAGTCACAGGACGAGCGCAGAGGGGGGTCTGGGCAGACCTGCGGATGACAACGAATGGGGACTGTCGCCCTCGTTACTGCCCTCGCATTGACATAGCCACACGTGTGTGTGCGCGTGCCCCGCTCATGCACATGTCTGATTCACTGTCCCCCAGCAGCCCCAGCCTGACGCTCACCTGCCCGACGGGGTATGCACGGGGAGGGGCAGGTGCCATGGGGGCAGGTGGGGGAGGAGGGCAGTGAGGGTCCCCCTCTGGCTGGAACTGAGTGGCCGGAGGCTGAGGAGTGGACAGCCTGACCGGTGACCCGAGGCCGTAATCTACCATCAGGCCGCTTCCTCCCGGGGCCCCAGAGACAACGGCCAGGCTCCCGTGGCCGCGTCCTTGTGGCTGCATCAGATCGCCCTCCAGAGGGTCTGCCGGGATCGGAGGACAGAGCGCCTGGCTCCTGCCTCCCTGGGAGACAGAGCCGCCAGGTCTCGCACGCACCAGGGAGCCGATGGTGTGGCCGCTGCCGAAGAGGCTGGCGGCCCCAGGGGAGTTAGAGTCCCCACACGACCCAGCCAGTCCCTCCTCGTTCCTGCCCACAGCCCTGGCCGGGGCGTCGTCCCACACACCGCAAGGTTGAGGGTTCAAATCCCCGTCAGGGCACTTACCTCGGTTGCAGGTTTGATCCCCGTCAGGGTGTGTATGGGCAACAACCATCGATGTCTCTCTCTCTCTTTCTTTCTCTCTTCCCCTCCCCTCTCAAGTCAATAAGCATACCCTTGGGTGAGGATTTTAAAAACTTGACGTGCTCACAGCAGCCTTCCTCACAGCAGTGGGAGGCGGGACAACCTGCGTGTCCGTCAGCACAGCAGGTGAGCACGTGTGGCCGTCATGCAGAGTGGCTGCTGACACAGGCTGGACATTACGTGCGTTTGCTCTGAGTGAGGGTGTGTTTGTTTATTCTCGAAACGCAGCCGTTAACAGTGCCAAGTTTAAGGTGAGGTGGACAAGTGGGCAAAGCAGTCGAACAGCAGGAAAAGGACAAAGAAGGAAGAACGGCAACGGGGCTTGGAAATCCGGCGGTAAAATCACCGAGCTCAGGGCCGCCATGGACATGGGAGGCAGGCAGCCCCGGGGCCTCACCCCCCGCCCCCTCCCGGGAGCACGAGAAAGTACTCACAACTGTCGGGGCCAGCTCTGCCTGGGAAACCGGCTACGGCAGCGAAGCCAAGCTGAGCCCAGAAAGGCACTGAGCCATAGGACGGCGTGCGGTGCTGCCGGCCGCCCTCCCTCCGGCCCAGCTCCCGGCCCTGCGCCCACACGGCCATCCTGGGGCCAGGGGCGCCAGCCGCTTCCTGGCAGGGAAGCTCGTTTGTGGGTTCTGGGCGGCCTGGGGCCTGCGTGGCCGCCTGACCCAGAACTCACTCACTGAGACCCCTGGCCCCTGGGGGAGAGGTGTGCAGAGTCCCTGGGAGATGAGAGCACCACAGGGCCCGCAGGAAGCGAGGGCTGGCAGCTCCGAGCTCCTCCCACTGGGCTCCTCCTGTCAGAGGAACTGCCTGGCATCCCCACCTGGGTGTGCAGAGGCCGCGTGTCCAGTCCTCGTGTCCAGCCCACAGAGCTGGGGTGCTGAGCTGACCCTCACGCTGTCTGAGGGTTTAGCCCCTCCGTCGGGGGGACAGGCAGCAGCTGCTGGAGGGCTGCAGAGGGACGGTGCAGCCCTGCCCACTCCCTGGGGATGCCGTTGGTGTATGTGGCTGGTGCTCCCATGCGCCCCCGGTCGAGGCAGCTGCAGGTGAAGAGCCTCCAGAGGAAGAACCGAGGGGGGGGGGCTCTCGCGGCCCCAGGGCAGCCAGGGGCACCAGGGCCTGACAGCGGGCCCTCTTCCCACGCAGGAAGGACATCCCCGCAGAGCGTGTGACGCACACAGACAGGGAGCAGACCAAGAGGGTGGTGTACGCCGTGGTGTACGGAGCAGGTAGGCGCGCTCGCTCGTGGCTGCGTTCACACGTGGCCCTGCCCTCAAGGAATCCTCTTCAGCCCGCGGCTGAGTTCGTGAGTCCCTCGGGTCCTCACACACACTCTCCAGCCGCAGCTCCCTCGGTGCCACGCCAGCCTTTCAGACAAGGGGGCAGGCCCGGAAGTGAGGGCGACCGGTCACCCAACGGGAGGGGGTCTCAGGGCCCACAGCTGTGCTGGGGCCATTTCTGTGCCTTGAGTTGCTCAAGGAGCCCCCCTCCCCCTGCTCCTCCTCCCCAGGGCCCAGGGCCCAGCTCCCCTCCCTCTCCCTCCCTGCCTCTCCTTTTGACTCTCTGACCATGGCTGTCTGGGCTTCTTAAATTCCTTTCTCCCTCTTGGTCATGGAATCAGTGGAGCCTGATGCCCCTCAGGAGAGGCTGTGGCCAGCCAGTCCCTCTCCAGGAGAGACCCATGTGGCTGCTGGCCAGGCCTATGCGGGCCTCCTCCCTGGGGTCAGTTCTGTTTGCACAGCGGGCTCCGCAGACCCGGGGAGCTCCCCTCCGGCCGTGGGAACCTTCACTCACAAAGGAAAGGCAGCAAAACCGAACAAGCGGCCAGTGCGAGCATATCGACTCCACGTGGGCCACCGTGGGCCTCCCAAGTGCCTCGCCTGGGCCTCAGGTGACGTGCTGTGACGGGGCGGGAACCCCCTCACAGAGGCTGGCTCCCCACAGGGCTCTGCCGTCTGCAGGAACCCCTCGCCCCAGTGTCCACTGAGCTCCATCACTTCTCAGATCCCCGCCCTTGAGCAGCGTGCCTGACCACTGGTCTCACCGCGTCTGTGGTCAGGAGTCTGGGCACAGCTTGGCTGGGTGTCCGGGGCCTGGTCTCAGTGGAGGCTGCACAGGGGGAGCACTTGGCGGCCTCCCTTTCTTGCCGGCTCTCAGCTCTGAGGGGCGGCCTCAGCACCGGCCTGGGCCTCCCGGCCTTGGCAGAGTCTGCACCGTGGGGGCTCCGCCTTGGAGACAGCGAGGGAGGAAGAGATGCCAGCGAGACGGCGTGATGGGAGGCTGAGACTCTGGGAGAAACCTGACCAGCGTGAAGAACCGAAGGCAGGAGGAAGCAGCCAGGGAATCTGGAAAGTGAAGGGGAACCTCAGAAGAAAGCCAGAGGAACACCACGTTGAGTGTGAGCTCTGCCCAGTCTCTGGCTGACCTTAAGCAGTCAGACCAAACCACCAGCCACGGCGAAAGGAACGAGCTGGGATTTTAGCTGCAGCCCAACGCAGAGGGGACAGTTTAAAGCTCAACTTTAGCCAAATTCACTGCCCCCTTAAAAAAACCAGTACCCCTGAGGAAAACAGAATTCAGAGTGTCTACAACATATCATTCACGATACCCAGGATACAATCCAAAATTACTAAACACGAAAAAGCAATAGCTTGATCCGTATTCAAGAGGAAAGGCAATCGTGGAATCTGATCCTGAGATGACGCAGATGTTGGAATTAGCAGACAAGGGTTCTAAAACCACTAATGTAACTGTGCTCAACGATGTAAAGGAAAAGATGCTCATAATGAATGACAATTAGGAAATCGCAGAAAATCAAAAGAGCCAAATGGAAATTCTAAAACTGAAAACTGCAATCTCAGAAACAAGACATTCGCTGAGTGGGCTTAACAGCAGATTAGACTGAGGAAGGTCTGGGCTGAGGCAGACCCCAGGCCCCACCTGGCCAGACCCGCCTGCACGTGAGCCACCATCCCATTCCTGTCGGAAAGCCAGGGAGGTTCCATTACAGGGCCACAGCCGAGCGCAGTGGCTGGAACGTCATAGAAACAGTTATAGGTGGATTATTCCAATATAAGGTACCCGTGAGCCCTAAAAGGGGACTTGGAGTTTTTTTCATTTCCAGCCAGATGAAGAGTCAGGCAGGCGTGGGCAGAGAGGAAGGACTGGGGGCTCCGAATCTCTCTCTTCGGGGACCGACTTTGTGAAGCACAGGGCACCCCAGCTTTCCCACTCTTCCTGGCCGACATCTGCCCCTTCACCCTCACGCGATAGACACTCTCTCCTCCCAGCGCCTCTGCACGCACCAGCCGCCAGGGCCAGGCCGTCCCAGGCCCCAAGGTCTTCCCTGGTCTTCAGGTCTCGCCTCCAGGCTGTGGCTCCTGGACCCTGTTGTCTGAGGCCCTTGGGGTACCCTTTGTTAAATGGCATTTAAATATATAAAATAAATATCAAAAATATAAGTCTTTGTTTTACTATGGTTTCACATATCAAAAAATGTCTATATGTGACCCGGCACCAGAGTTAAGTTAGGGTTTTTCAAATGCTGACATGCTGAGCTCAAAAGGTTCGCCATCACTGGTCTAGTGTGACCCCAGGTTGGCCCATGCAGAGGCAGCAGCCCACGCCTGGCCAGTCATGCTCCCAGGAGTCAGGTCTTCAGCCGCTGGTTGCTCTGGGCTCCCTCACAATGATGGCCCCTTGGAGCCGGCCTTGGCCCATCACCCTGTTGTCCAGCAGGGCTCCCATACCTGTCCTCACGGCAAATCATTCTCTAGGCAAAGTCTCCCTCTCTTGGCCTGGCCGGGCTCGCGGTGGTTAGAGCACTGCTCCCATTCGCCAAGGTTGCTGGTTTGGTCTCCGTCAACTAACGGGGAGACCAGCAAGTGGACATCTCTCTCTAGTCGACCATCAATAGGAAGAGGAGAGAATGGCTCCACGCTGACACCAAGCAGGGCCATCTGCTGGGAGCGTCCCCTGCCTCCGCTCATGGGCCCCCTAACAGCCCTCAGGGGTGGGGACCAGTGAAGACATGGGGCCTTTGCAGACCAGGGGCTTCCCCGGACCCACCGACTTCCCACAGTGAGGAGCTGCTCTGACCCGCTTCCCTGTGGCCACAGCACCTGCCCCCAGCAAGCTGTGCTCAAAGTCAGGGTGTCACCCTGGCACTCGGGGTGCTGTCCCACCACAGCCCTTGCTGAGAGAAGCTTCACAAGAAACCCGCACCCCCTAGGAGCCAAATGCTGAGCTGGACCAAAGCATGTGTCTCACCATAAAACGCCAGGGAGGGAGCTCCTGGGCCCGTGTCCTCCTAGCTTGGCCATGGAGCTCCCTCCTCCCCCTACCCCTACCCCTCCTTCCCCTCCTCCTCCTCCTCCTCCTTTCCCTCCTCCCCCTCCTCCCCCTCCTCCGTGCCCCGGTAGGACTGCTATGCTGGATGGGCCCAGAGCGGGGCCTGCACCTGCCTCATCCAAGGCTTCCCCTGCAGCACCTGGAGGCACTCAGCCCGGGCTGCTGAGTAAACGCGTGTTCATCAGGCCAAATTGGGGGGTGGGGGGGCAGCCCTCGCACTCAGCTAGAAGCCAAAGCCAGCACCATCCTGCCCAATCAGAAGAGACCAGTGGTGCCCGGCCCGCATGGCTCAGTGGTCGAGCATCAACCTATGAATCGGGAAGTTAGGGCTCGATTCCCAGTCAGGGCATATGCCCTGGTTGCAGGCTCGATCCCCAGTGTGGGGCGTGCAGGAGGCAGCCGATCCATGATTCTCTCTCATCACTGATGTTTCTCTCCCCCTCCCTCTCCCTTCCTCTCTGACATCAATAAAAATATATTTATATTAAAAAAAAAAAAGAAGCAGAGACCACTGGTGCCAACTGGACCTCAACTCACGTCTCCCGAGAGCCCTCTCGTTGGCTCATTTGTGCGCGTGACGGGCTCTGCCTCGCGGCTCGTGCTCCCAGCCCCTCGTGTGAGTCGCTGCCTCTGATCCTGGTGTTTCTGCTCGGACAGGGAAGGAGCGGCTCGCTGCCTGCCTTGGAGTTCCTGTTCCAGAAGCCTCCCGGTTTTTGAAAAGTTTCTTGCAGAAGTA